ATCCGTCTCGCCGCTGACCCGCCGCGCCCCGCCCCCGGGCCTCCGGGACCCCCCTCGTCGCCCGTGGAGCGAGGCCTAGGCTTCTGCGTCCATGGCGCACAGCCGTCGCTGCGGCGTGAGGGGACCGTCCCGTCTGCGCACAACTTCCCCCGGGGTCAGCCCGCAGACTGAGAGCGACCTACCTCTGTGCTCCAGCTCCATGTGGTGTTTGGGGTGCTGAGGGGGAACCCCGTGGGCTGGAGGCCTGGGGCCAGGCCCCGCGAGGGCATGTGGCTCAGGGCGCTGCTCTTTGCTGCTGACCAGAACCTACCCAGCCCTAGCGGTGTTGAATGTCCCTGCACTGGGACCTGCCCCCCCAGCACTGTGTAGCCCCAACCCCCTGTGTGAGGCTCGGAGCCGAGATCCACGGCTGGTGGGGCGAGGAGCAGGGTGAGGACGTGGTCCTCTCCCCTCCGGGAGCCCCGGCCCCCATAATCATGAGACTCCATAACATTCCTGGTGTTACGGTTCCTTTTATTACATCGAGGACGGTAAATTAGCCGGCAGACACTCTCCAGTCCATCTGCTGACGGCCGGTGTCCCAGGCTGGGACCGGCCAGTGTGTCTCAGACCTCGGTTCCAAGAGCACAGTGTCCTGGGCCCTGGCTTCGGAGGTGCGGCACATGTGCTGAGGCTGCTCTGTGGGCCCAGCCGGGACTGATGCCCTGCACCCCGTTCTACCTTCAGCCCCCCACTGCCACACAGCCGGGCTGACCAGTACGACCTCAGCTGGGACCAGCAGCTCAACCTGGCCTACGTGGGTGCTGTCCCTCATGGTGGTATCGAGCAGGTCCGGACCCACTGGCTGCTGGACCTCGTCACGGCCAGGTGGGTGACGGAGGGGGTGGGCAGCCTGGGACAGCTGGGCAGAGCCCGCTTGACTGGGGCTGAGAGAGGAGGCTGTGTCCTCTGCCGAGGGTGGTGCAGTGTGGGGTTGTGCGGGGCCCTGGGGGGCAGATCCTGCCTTGAGGAGCCGCTGCCCCTACACCGCCGAGCCAGGCGTCCTGTGTGGAAGGAGGGGAGGAGGGAGGATGTCCCCTCGGCTCCAGGGGACCATGATGTGGGGGCAGCCCCAGGACGGGCTCTGCTGGCTTCCTGTCGGAGGTCACCCTGGAGGCTCAGGGTCGGGCTGGGGCTCTGCGGGCCGGGCTGTGTAGGGAGGGCCGAGCTGAGGTCGCGTTGGTCACACGGCCCGGCTGGGGCCTAGGCACGAGGTGTAAGAACACTTGGGTGTGTGTCGGGGGCTTCCCGAGGCACAGAGACCCTGGCACTCTTGGCCAGAGCCACCAGCTCTCACCTGGTGGGGCGGGGGCCAAGGGACTAGTGTCCTGGTACTTTGGAGGCCCTTTTGAACTGAGATGGTGACATCGAGTGTCACACTGGCCCCACGGCTCAGGGCACCAGAGCCCAGCTTTGCACTGGCGGCATTTGTCTTAAAGGTGTGGTTCTCGGATTCTCGAGTGTCTCGGTCCTCGTGGGTGTCCACAGCGCTGTCCGCCCTGACCCAGTCGGGGTACCCCGGTCCCGCCAGGGCAGAGATGGCGCACACCGTCCCAGGAGGGTCAGTTGGTCACAGGTGGTGTGAAGGTGCTGGCCGTCCTAGAGCGCGGAGTCGGCGGGCGCCTGCTCCCGCTGGCGGGCTCGGGCGGCCTGCACAGCGTCGTGCACGCTGTGAAACAGCTGGCCCTCCTCATCCACGTCCCCCTGGTCCTTCCCAAGGAAGCCACTTCTCCGCAGGGCGTCCCTCACCGAGGGGCTGCAGCAGGCCAGGAGCAGGGCGACGCCCAGGGCCGCGTAGTCTTGGTGCAGCTTCCGCAGCGTGGCCAGGCCGGCCGCGTCCAGGAACAGCAGCGGGGCGCAGTCAATGACCAGCGCGTGGAAGCCGGCCACTGGGGGCACCAGTGCAGCCATGCTGCCCTCTGGGCCCGGGTCCTTGCCCTCGACGGAGTCTCCCTTGCTGACCCCTGCCTCTGGGGCCTGCTCCTTCCTCCTGGCGGCCTCTCGCCCCGCGTCCAGCCCCGTGAGGCTGTAGAGGGACCGCAGGAAGAAGTCCTTGTTGGCATAGTAGAGTGGCCCCGCAAAGCGGAACACCCGCACCCCGGGTTCGGGGACCAGGCCCTCGAACTCCGCGGTGTCCTCGTAGAAGCCGGAGCCCCCGATGCGGGCGAGCAGCACAGCGCGTGGGCGCTGCGTGCGGCCGGCCAGGCTGAGCAGCGAGAGGAGCACCCCGGCCAGCAGCCCGGCCTCGGTGCTGACCAGCACGCAGGTGGCCGCCGTGGCCACCCAGACCAGCGCGTCGGCGGGGCTGAGCCGCCACAGCTGCGGGACGTCCCTCACCTTGCGCAGGGCCCCCCGCAGGCTGACGAGGATGACACAGGCCAGCACGCTCCGCTGCAGGTCCCGGAACAGCGGCGCCAGCACCAGCAGCACCAGCAGCACCACGGCGGCACTGACCACGCTGGACAGCTGCGTGCGGCAGCCGGTGGCCGTCTTCACCAGGCTCTTGGCCAGGGCGGCGCTCGTGGCGAAGCAGTGGAAGAAGGCGGGCAGCACGTTGCAGCAGCCCACGGCCAGCAGCTCCTGGTTGGCTCGCACCGAGTAGCCGTGGCTGCGGGCGAACATCTCCGCCAGCGAGACGGAGAAGGCAGAGCCCACGAGGGCCAGGGGCAGGGCGTCCAGCGCCACGCGTCGCATCAGCCCGGGGTCCGGCACCCGCGGGGCCATGAAGCCAGTGGGGATGTCGCCAGCCACACTGGAGCCGAAGCGCTCGTGGAGCTTCCCGAGGTGGGACACGAGCGTGGCTAGCACGATGACCAGCAGCTCCACGGGCAGCGGCATCTTCAGGCGGCGCCGGCAGCGGTCCGAGAGCTCCTTCGTGGCCAGCAGCACAGCCAGGCACACGGCACTGGTGAGCACGTCACACAGGTTGGCCTGCGGGGCTCTGCGCAGCAGGCTCAGCCATGTGCTGACCACCATGCCCGGCCCCTGGTGCCGTGGGACCTGCACGCCCAGCAGGTGCTTCAGCTGGGAGGTCAGGATGGTCACCGAGGCCCCCATGGCAAAGCCATCAAGCAGTGGCTGTGAGAGGTAGGCCGACACGAAGCCCAGCCGGAGGACACCCATGAGGACCTGTGGGCAGAACACTGTCAGGGCGCAGTGGCCTGGGCACCGAGCCCGACCAGGCACGGCCAAGCAGCTCCTCCTGCCCCATGGTGCCACCACGCTCCCTCCCCAGGGCCTGGTGCCTGTGGGAGGGACCCAGGATGGCCCCTGGGAGGGAGTGACACAGGGTGGGTGTGGACGGGCCCGGAATAGGAGAGGGCTGGGCATGGGGAGGCCACGGGAAGTTGGGCAGTCCCCCTGGGTCCCACCTGGGACAGGAAGCCCGGGGAGGCCACGTGGGCCATCGCTGGGCACGTCTGGGGCTGAGGCCACACTCTGGCTATGTGTCCCTGCCCAGGCCGCCCAGGCACTGGGCACCCTCAGCCCCTTGGGTGCCATCCTGGGGAGCTGTCGAGGGCCTGCCACTGCCTGTCCCCGGCTGTGTCCTCTTGCGGTCAAGCCCACTGCCCTTTGAGGCCCCACGCGACCGGCTCCTCACCTGGTAAAGCCCGGCCACCAGCGTGAGGGCGGTGGCAACACGGACGGCATGGCAGTCCCGCCCGCAGCCCTGCCCGGCGGCCTCGGCATCCAGGGCGCTGCTGTTGCCCCCGGGCCCTGGGCCGTCCTGGGCAGGGTCGAAGCCGGCCAGCAGGAGCTCGCGGTCCACCACCTGCCCCACCATGAGGCAGAGGAGGCTGAAGACGCCCACGGACACGTGGCGGGAGGTGCCCATGAGGAAGTAGATGAGGTTTGCGAAGAAGGACGTGTAGAGGCTGTAGATGGGCTGCAGCCCGGCCAGCAGCGAGTAGGCGATGGCCTGGGGCACCAGGATGATGCCGATGACCAGCCCAGACATGACGTCGCCGGCCAGGTCCTCCCGCGGGCGGTACGTGGGCAGCCAGCGCGTGGCGGGGAGCAGATCCTGCACCCGCGCCCAGAACTCCTGCCTGCTGCACGCACAGCTCCGCCTCAGCCTGGCCTTCAGCATCTCCCGCAGGCCTGGGACCACGGGGGGCTGCCGGCGGACCAGCACCAGCTCCCCGCCCCGCCGCGGGCACTCAGGGGGCGCTTCCATCCTGGGCTACCAGGCCCCTTGGGGAACCTGCAACGGAGAAGTGGCGTGGACACGGGGGCCGCGGGACGTGCCGGGGTAGGAGACGTCACAGAAAGCCCGGCACGTGGGGCCAGACCCAAGCCCCTGCTCCCCGTCCACCTGCACGTCCAGGCGCAGGCCGCCGTCGCACCAGAGGCCCCTCAGCGCTTCATCCAAACCACCAAGGTCCCCTCTGGCCTTCCCCCCTGTCACCCAGCGCCGCGGGCCCTTGGCCGACAGCAGCCGGGAGGAAGAGCCGCCTGGTCACCGGGGCCTGAATGTGCGGGGCGAGGGGCGCTCGGCAGCAGCACTTGTCACCGACAGGTCCTTGTGACGCATCCTGGACCGTGTTTTGGAAAGTGCCCTCTGCGGGGGCCAGGACTGTGGGACTGCTTTTCCCCAGGTTCTCTCCTGTCCGATGTGTACGCCGGACCGTCCCCACGGTCCCTGGGCACGGGCACCCAGGGCCCAGCCCTCCGCAGACAGCTGGCCTGTCTTGGCCTGTCTTGTCCTGTCCACGGCCATGCCCAGCTCGGCTTGGACTTCAGCTTCAAGGTCCCCTCCTAGTGACACTGAGCCTAGTCACCCTGCTGCCTGTGCTGAGGGCACCGTCTGCTGCTCTGGGACACAGGGCCTGGGTGTGCCCAGGGTGTGCAGGGCGGTGGTGGCCCCAGCCTGGCAGATGGCGTGGGCCATGGACACAGCCCTGCGGACTCCAGGGTTGTGGCTCTGTCCCTTAGGAGAAGTGCGAAAGCTGTTTCCTTCCTCCGCTGACCTTGCCACACAGGCTGCCAGGGTCCAGGTGTGTGTATTGAGGGCTGTTTAAATGCTACCAGCCTTGTGCCTGAAGGTCCCCAACAAAACCCTGACCAGCTGAACCCCTTCACAGTGCCCTGCACCTAGGGAGCGGGCATCTGCTGTGGCAAGTCCCCAGGGCTGTCACTGTCCTGCACTGGGCCCTGCATGGCTCTTACCTGAGGGCACCCCTCACGGCCTTGGTGGGCATGGAGGGGCTGGGCCTGTCTGTCCTCTGAGGCCAGGGTCTGCCGGCTGGCTGGACCTCCAGAGCTGTCTGGCTCCTGGTGGGGTGGGGGAGTGCGGGCGGGGGCCTGGCGCATCTGCGGGCAGTGCTCTGAGGTTAGCATCCGATCACCTGGCCCTACTGGGCTTGCATTTAATTATTTACACCAAAGATTGCTGAGTCACGTGTTTGCCCAGACAAGTGATACCTGAGTGGCTAATCCAGGCAGTTGTGCTGTAATCAGAGGCTCACAAATAATTACATTGTGTGGCCACAGATAAGCTCCCGAGATCCGGGCTGTGGGTGCAGGACATGGGAGGGGCCGGCAAGGAGCTGGAGCGGGCAGCTGGGTTCTAGGGCCCTTGGGGAAGGCCAGTCCCGGCTGGACACAGGCAGCATGTGGCCCTTCAGCTCTGGGGCCCAGTGCCCTGGTCCCCAGGACCCTGGAGGGTGGACATGGACCAGAGGGGACCAAGGGAGGGCCTGGTCTCCTTAGCCCATCCCTGGATGTCCTCCCTGCCCTTCTAGGAGATGGGTTTGGTCCAGCCGGAGCACGGGCAGGGCCAGCTCAGTCCTGGCAGCCACGCCGCTGGCTGGTGTTGTGTCTTTGTATGGACAGGCTGCGTGTGTGTGCGTGCGTGTGTGTGTGTGTGAATTGCTGAGGGCAGAAGGGAGCCAGGCGTGTGTACGTGCGTGTGTATGTGTGCGTGTGTGCGCGCGTGCGTGTGTGTGAATTGCCGAGGGCAGAAGGGAGCCAGGCGTGTGTGCGTGCGTGCGTGTGTGTGTGTGTGCGCTTGCGTGCGTGTGAATTGCCGAGGGCAGAAGGGAGCCAGGCGTCAACACGCTGTTACTAGCCAGGCGTCCTCTTCTTGCATGGGGTGGGGGTCCTGGGTCTGGGTGCCAGCCGGGTGCTGCCCCCTGTGTGTGAGCAGACATCGGGCCTTGCTGTACCTCCGTTCCCCCTCTGCGGAATGGGACGGGCCTCGCAGGGTGGCCCGAGGTGAGTGAGTGCTTTCCGCGGCCCCCCTGGGCCCCACACGCGGTGAACTGAGGGCGGCTGCTGCTTCCACAGCTGTTACTCAGAACCTCAGTCCCCCATCTTTAAAGTGAAGAAACAGGTGAGAAAGGGCCCAGCCTGCGGGTGCTGAAGGCCCATGCTCCCCACTTGGAGGAAGTGGGTCCCTTCGGTGCGGCTGGAACGCCAAGCTGACATGGGCTGCTGTCCCCAGAGGCCCTGGTCCCATGGACAGCCTGGCTCAGCTCTGCTCCCGTCCCCCAGGCACTAAGGGGGAATTAAGATCAGCAGCCAGCTGTCCTGGAGAGATCCATTCCACCCGGAGCGGGGACAGTGAGAGGTTGAGGGGCTCCCACCCCAGCCCTTTCACACTCAGCTCCACCTCAGCCCCCGAGAAGCCCACCTGCAGGCCCTGCCCTGGCCCCGCATCCCTGGGCCTGGCTGGGGAGACCAGGAGCCCCATTTGGGGGCAAAGACGGGAGTGGCACCCAGGGTGGGAGAGGGTGTCCCCACCTGCGATGCCGTCTCTGCCTCTCCAGACCCAACTCTGTCCCTGAAGTGCCTACGTTGGGCCCCAAAGTCTGGCCCAGTTTGGAGTCTGAGGCCTTCCAGCCATGGGGCTGTTGCCCACTACCCGCCTCCAGGTCTGTCCTGGGACCCGCTGGGCCCTGGGGACTGTTCGCCAGACCTAGAGCTGTGGTTCCCTGGGCCTGCTGGCCCAGCACGGGGCTGGGCAGGATGAGTCACAGCAGTCGAGGGCCTCAGGCCCCAACCTGGGGCAGATAAGGTGCACTTCCAGGAGCAGGTGTGGAGGCCATAAAACGGCTTATCTCGAGGCCCAGCTACCGAAAAACAGGCAGCAAGAGGACTCCCTGGGTGGCCCATGGCTGGAGGTGGGGGCTGCCAGGTGGGTCCTCACAGCACCTGGGACAGGAGGTGGGGCATCAGGGCCGCAGCCGAGCCCCATGGAGGGCTCCTGGGGCGCAGAGTGGTGGTGGGCAGCTGTAGACACGTGCATGTGTGTGGGAGTCATGGGCCTGCTGCTTGTCCAGGACAGGATTGGGGTGCCCTAACATAGGGTGTGGCCCCTTCTCCCTCAGGAATGGGGGCAGGGACCCCAGAGGCTCTGGGTCTGTTGCACTTGTGGTTGGGGTCTTGGCAGGTGGAGCTGTTCCAGGAAGGGGCTGTTCTCTGCACCCAGCACCCGGCGCCCCCATCCTGGCCTTGGCTGTCCTGATAGCAGGGATGGAACCTCATACTTCCCCCGCTCCTCCCCGGGCTGGATATCTAAAGCAGGGGAAGGAATACGGTCGAGGTCACATCTGACATTTGAGAGAACTGCTGGACCTCTGGCGCCTAACATACCCACAGGCCCCGTCTCTCTGCCTGCTTCTCTGTAGTCAGCCACTGCTGTGAGCACCCTGTGGTCTGGCCAGGCCCATGGGCTTGTCAGGTGTCCTGGGAGAGCATGCGGGGCCTGCCTCCCCACATCCCGGGGCCTGCCGAGCTGCAGACTCCACTCGCACTCCAGGTGGGGCTGGGGTCCCCAGTGACTGCCACCCGCCGCAGCCGCCCGCTTCCGCCTCCGGCCCAGTCCCACGACACAGGGCTGTTCCCTACTATCCGTCTCCAAGCTGCCGTTTTAAATCCTTGCGTGCGCTTATCAGGACAGGAAACGCTGTGTGGCCGCAAGCGCGAAGGGGCGGGCGGACGGCGCTCAGGCTTCCAGGGCCAGGCCGAGTTCCTCCGGAAAGGCCTGCGTCGCCTGCGCGCGCTCCGGGGTTCTGGGAGGGAAGGCGGAGGCGGGC